TTCCAAATTAGGAGATGAAGGATATATTATGTGCAGGGTATTATTTGGCAGCCTGTAGTTTCTCCCCCCCCCCCAAATACTGGGATGTATGTACAACAGTACTGGGTCTCTGCTAACTGGATCTGGGTCATATAAGGTCATNAACAGTTTCACCGTCTCTTGATTATTTTATTATTATTTTTATTATTTTTCCAAATTAGGAGATGAAGGATATATTATGTGCAGGGTATTATTTGGCAGCCTGTAGTTTCTCCCCCCCCCCCCCCCAAATACTGGGATATATGTACAACGTACAGTACTGGGTCTCTGCTAACTGGATCTGGGTCATATAAGGTCATGTACCATGTTTCATGGATTTCCTGAGAAAAATCATTGTGAAACTTGCCGTAACATACAACATTGGTCAAAATGGTTGTCCCACCCCCATTTCCATGTACTTTTATTTACAAATGATCACCTCACAGCTGTAAATTGTTAGAAATAGTGCTTTTTATTACAGATACCGTGTCTAACATGATTAATAGTTTAAAAAAATACAAAATAGTGGTGAAAATATACATATTTTATACCGTTTAGTAAAATTTATAAGAGGTACCCCCTCAAATGCTTCTACAGATGTAAAGACATGTCTATTAAATTGAAAAGACGCCATAAAATGTCACCAAATTCACACACAATTAGCATTAGGGTGTGCTTGTTAAAAGTCACGTGCCTAACAGCGTGTGCGTCTACCGCGTCCTGCAATTATCTCCTGTAGACGGCGCGACAAGCCTTCAACAAGGGTAACAATTCTGTTTTGTGGGATATTGTCCCATTCTTCTTAAACAAGTTGGGGGGGGGGGGTTGGTCCACGTTTTATGGGGTTGGTTCTCCTTTGCACTGCACACTCCAATTAATGTCACAGTTGATTAGTAAGTTTAATATCAGGGCTCAAAGATGGTGGTTCCACCCGTAGAGCATTGTGTTTCTTCAACAAACACTTGCCAGCAGGGGAGAGGTGTGACCAAGTGTGCAGTCATGATGAAGCCTGGAGTTAACCCCAAAGTCAGTTCTTAAAGATGGAATGAGATATCAGCTGAAAATGCTAGGTTCAGTGATCCCACAGGCACCTGAAACCTGGCCATCCATCACTGGAAGGAAGTCGGTTTTGATGCAGAATCAAATTATTTCTTGTATCCCATCGATGGTCAAATGAGGGTCCATAGACATGTTAAAATGCCTCATGGAAGGGTGTGTGTAGGATAATTTCGCCTGAGGTGTTAAATCAGTCCGCCTTTGGAGAACATTCCAAGCCCATGGTATTAGTACATTGTTCCTTTTGGAACAAAACGTAACAGGGGCATTTTAATGTAACACTCTCAACAAAAATCTCACTCCATTTGCGACAGGTGACTTCAGGGATGCTACTGGCTTCATTGCGACAACGCACTTGCTCAAAGCTCTCGTCTGGCAAGCGATTTGTTGCAGAAACACAGGGCTCTGAGGATGGGACAGCCGTCTTTGGGCCTGATATTAATCCTACTGAGCACCTGTGGCATTAATTAGAATGTGCATTGCAGAGAAGAACCAATTCCCAAATAATCTTGACCAATTCCGCCACGCTCTTTAGGATGGATGGGACAATATCCCACAAAACAGAATTGTTACCCGTGTTGAAGGCTTGTCGCGCCGTCTACAGGAGATAATTGCAAGACGCGGTAGACGCACACGCTGTTAGGCACGTTAACGAGCACACCCTAATGCTAATTGNCGAGAGGTGTGACCAAGTGTGCAGTCATGATGAAGCCTGGAGTTAACCCCAAAGTCAGTTCTTAAAGATGGAATGAGATATCAGCTGAAAATGCTATGTTTAGTGATCCCACAGGCATCTGAAACCTGGCCATCCATCACTGGAAGGAAGTCGGTTTTGATGCAGAATCAAATTATTTCTTGTATCCCATCGATGGTCAAATGAGGGTCCATAGACATGTTAAAATGCCTCATGGAAGGGTGTGTGTAGGATAATTTTGCCTGAGGTGTTAGATCAGTCTGCATTTGGAGAACATTCCAAGCCCATGGTATTAGTACACTGTTCCTTTTGGAACAAAACGTAACAGGGGCATTTTAATGTAACATTCTCAACAAAAATCTCACTCCATTTGCGACAGGTGACTTCAGGGATGCTACTGGCTTCATTGCGACAACACTTGCTCACAGCTCTCGTCTGGCAAGCGATTTGTTGCAGAAACACAGGGCTCTGAGGATGGGACAGCCGTCTTTGGGCCTGATATTAATCCTACTGAGCACCTGTGGCATTAATTAGAATGTGCATTGCAGAGGAGAACCAATTCCCAAATAATCTTGACCAATAATCTTGCCATGACCAATTCCGCCACGCTCTTTAGGATGGATGGGACAATATCCCACAAAACAGAATTGTTACCCGTGTTGAAGGCTTGTCGTGCCGTCTACAGGAGAAAAAAAATGCGTGGAAATAATTGCAGGACGCGGTAGACGCACACGCTGTTAGGCACGTTAACGAGCACACCCTAATGCTAATTGTGTGTGAATTTGGTGAAATTTGATGGCGTCTTTTCAACTTAATAGACATTTCTTTACATCCGTAGAAGTGACAGTGAAACAGTGGATTTGAGGGGGTAGCTCTTATAAATTTTACTAAATGGTATAAAATATGTATATTTTCACCACTATTTTGTATTTCTTTAAACTATTAATCATGTTAGACACGGTATCTGTAATAAAAAGCACTATTTCTAACAATTTACAGCTGTGAGGTGATCATTTGTAAAGAAAAGTACATGGAAATGGGGGTGGGACAACCTTTTTGTTCAATGTTATATATAAAAATTATATATATATATATATTAAAAGTAAAAGTGTTCTTACTGTACGAGTATATATATATATATTATATATAATAAAAAGAAAAAAAAAACAGCAGCTATTTTGCCCCGACCGGTTTCATTCTTTCTTCAAGGGCTTTGTTTATTTGTTACTAGGTCAAGGCTAAAATGTGACGTCTGTAACAATGGGTGTTTAATTGTTGTTTTTACCAATACTATTATTTATTCATTGTAGGTTTATACTTATTAATGAATAGATTTTCTTAAATTTAATGCCACACCATACCATGCCACACCAAACCATGCCATGCCACACCAAACCATGCCAAACCACACCATAACACACCATGCCATGCCACACCACACCACGCCACACCACACCATGCCATGACATACCATGCCATGCCATTACACACCACACCACACCTTGCCACACCACACCATGACACACCACACCATGCCATGCCATGACACACCATACCATACCATGCCACACCATGCCATGACACACCACACCATGACACACCANATTTTGGTCTTCATTTATTAATATTGGTAATTTGGTGAAATTTGGTGAAATTTGATGGCGTCTTTTCAACTTAATAGAGATTTCTTTACATCCGTAGAAGTGACAGTGAAACAGTGGATTTGAGGGGGTAGCTCTTATAAATTTTACTAAATGGTATAAAATATGTATATTTTCACCACTATTTTGTATTTCTTTAAACTATTAATCATGTTAGACACGGTATCTGTAATAAAAAGCACTATTTCTAACAATTTACAGCTGTGAGGTGATCATTTGTAAATAAAAGTACATATATTAAAAGTAAAAGTGCTCTTACTGTACGAGTATATATATATATTATATATAATAAAAAGAAAAAAAAAACAGCAGCTATTTTGCCCCGACCGGTTTCATTCTTTCTTCAAGGGTTTTGTTTATTTGTTACTAGGTGATGTCATAAAGGCTAAAATGTGACGTCTGTAACAATGGGTGTTTAATTGTTGTTTTTACCAATACTATTATTTATTCAATGTAGGTTTATACTTATTAATGAATAGATTTTCTTTAATTTAATGCCACACCATACCATGCCACACCAAACCATGCCATGCCACACCAAACCATGCCAAACCACACCATAACACACCGTGCCATGCCACACCATGCCACACCACACCACACCATGCCACACCACACCATGCCATGACATACCACACCATGCCATGCCATGACACACCATACCATACCATGCCACACCATGCCATGACACACCACACCATGCCATGCCACACCA